TATAAGGATGTTGGTGTTGCCCTAGCCTAAAGGACTTACATGTGCAATCTTTCCATAACCGTAACCTTCTGTAACAATCGCTTGTTACGCATAGTGCCTGCACTCCATGATTGGGTTTCTTTCCGGGAATTCCTATTTCCATCATTGTACTGCACTTGGACTTAACCACAGGACTTCGTATTCAATTACAGGCTCCTTATTAGATTACAGAAGCTAAAATCTTTCAATTTTGCCTCCAGCCGGACTTGAACCGTTAACCTTGACTGTGGAGGATATGGGAGCTTAACCGCTAAGCTATGGAACCCACACCCAAAATACTTTTAAATTAATTAGTTTTTAAGTTTATAGATTATAAATACATATAAGTTTGAATTTTTAGATAGTTAGATTTTAGTTGTTTTAGTAGTTAAGCATTACTTTTCTTTACATATATCTACCTATCATTTATATGTATATAATTAGTGTTTTACTAATTTGTATAAACTTTTGAAGTTTTCGTTTTTAGTAATGAATAAAAATTGTGTAATTTGATTGGTTAATAGTCACGTGTAGATCTGTAAATCAAAAAACTAGACAATAGGACGAATTTCTGTCTATGAATCCGAGGTATGATCGACACTTTGCCCGGAGTATATACCCTAACCTCATAGGGGAACATTCGTCTGATTGGCTAATTAATGTAAATCAATTGCCCGGGTAACTTATTTATATATACTTTAAAGTACTTTCAATGTTTCACCAATAAAAAATCACCGCAAAAACCATTTTTTCGATTCGATAGAACGTCTATATTTACTATATAAAAATAATCAGTAATAATCAGCATCACCATGAACTTTACTTGGAAGACAATATATACCTACCGTTTATTGGACCAAACCAAAGTGAAGGTAACTGGAAACGTTTTCGTTTAAAACTATTTTATTACGTTAGATTTAAATAAACTTTTATTTCTAACTGTTAATTTGTGCTCATTAGTAGTAAAAGATCCGGGCTTAAGATTAAATTTGGTCGGTTATTATAGTGTGTTTGGGTTAGGGACCTGGCACGCATAAATTTATTTGGCATGCCTACTATCTGGCATGCCAAATAGCATGCTTATGCCACTTTGTACTAAGCTTTTTTTCTATTAACTATTTTGACTTTCTGGCATGCCAATGAGGTTCCCTAGTTTGGGTTTGTTAACCGTAAATTAATAGTTAAGGTTTTGAGTTATATTTTATCGATTCTTTAATATAATGAGTTGGGTTTATTAACAATAAATATCACATTTATTCACTTTACACGCATTTATATATTCTCTAAATATAAATAATAAAACTTTTTTTTTGCGTATATTTATTGTCTGTAAGCTTCTTTTTACAAAGTTTTTTTTTTGTTTTTAGTAATATTAATTAAAAATTATGTATTTTGATTGGTTAATTATCATGGGAAATCACTGGTAGATCTACAAAAATTAATCAATCATGCGAATGTCTTTTCTATGAACCCTAACCCAAACTAACCCTAACCTTAATCTTAAAATATGAAAGATATCGATATGACTGGACATGGCTTTAGACATCTCCTATATTTGGTAAAATCCCCGACTATATTACCGTTAGGCCACGTCAAGTTAAAACTATAACCCCCATCTCTTTTGAGCCTTTTAATATAAAAATCATAATGACTGTTCAAAAAAAAATTTTTGTTTAACTAATCAAAATCTCATGTTTTTTTTTTACCCCCCTATCATTTCATTAGTGTAATGTTAAACATAAAATCAACTACTAACGCCAATGTAATTCATTTAATACTAGGATTGTAAAAATTACCGTAATTTGTGTAATTTTGTGTAAGTATTCCGAAACCAAAAAATTTCATGTAATTGAAAACATCTGGTGTTACTTTAAATATCTCTATTAATTCTTCTTATCTGTTATCACTCATTTGTTATGCTACGTGTTAAAATCAACAGGAAATAGAATTATTTCTCCGAACGTATTCTCCGAACGTAGTCTCCGAAAATAATCTCCGAACGTAGTAACGATAATATATTTCTAGTACAGTAATACTAGTCAAATTTTCATAACGTTGGTACAATAATCATGTACCAATCCAGTATTAAAATGTAACAATTTAATCTAATTATTCGTACAAAACTTTCTATTAGTTCTGGTGGTGAGTTTTTTTTTAAAAAAAGAAGCTTTTTAGTTCACAATTCATTTATTAGTAATAAAAACAAGAAAATACTTTTTTAAAAAAGTACGAGAATAATAATAAATGTATCGGAACAAAAAAAATTTCTTTTACATGTAAAATCGGTTAAGACATTAAAGATAGTAAAATGATTTCACACGTATGACATCACCAGCTATTAACGCACTTGCGCTTAATAATAGGAACCTAAACATTGAATGAACAAAATTGTCGCAACACAGGAAAAAAGAAAAAGTCTTTTTTTTGTTACAGTATTAAAAAAAAAAAAAAAAAAAACAGGTAAAAGACTATACATTTATATATATGAAGGAAAATTATAATAATACAAATTATTCATCAAGAATAAAAATAAATTACGTAATAAAAAAAGCCTCCAAAAATTTTTTTTGATTAAACAAAGGAATTATAACACAAGGGAGAATGAATTAAAGACTTTGGTTAAACCAAGTATGTTGTTATTTACTAATAGCAAATTTTACAATAGCAAAAAAAAAGAAAAAATAAATTACGTAATAAAACAAAGCCCCCCAAAATTTTTTGATTATTATAACACAAGGGAGAATGAATCCCCAAAATTTTTTTGATTATTATAACACAAGGGAGAATGAATTAAGGACTTTGGTTAAACCAAGTATGTTATTTACTAGTAGCAAATTTTATAATAGCAAAAAAGAAAATAGCAAAAGCGCCAGTGCTTAATATTACTATCCAACATATGAATATAGCAAATTTATTACGCCTTCGAATACAACCCCCTACAATAGTATAAAAATTATAATTAGTAAAAAAAAAAGTGAAATAAAGGAGTGAAAGAAAAAGTAAATTCAAACAAAATTCAAACAAAATTCAAACGTACGTTCATCTTTTTCTTCTTCACCTATTGAAAAGGGTAAATAATGAATATAAATAAAAATATATATATATATTACTTGAATGCAAGAAAATAATAACATACCATAAATTTCATTTTCATTAATTTCAATATCTCTTATTGAAGTAATATTTCCATTAGAGAAAGTAACACTTCCAGTTCCAAAGGCGGGATGTTTACTCTCCATAATAATACCTTTAATATCATTATTAAATTCCAAATTACTAACAAAATTCTTTTTTCCATTATTACCCATTATTTCATCATTATCAACCCAAACCGGATCTAATTTTAATCTTCCTAATCTAGCCAAAATATCAGATATTTGTGGACGAACACTAGCATCAATATCCCAACATTGTTCATATAAATCTACTAATTCAAGAGGTGTACCATTTACAGGTTTTAATCTTAACCCTTCTAATAATCTTATAGCTAAAAATTGATTATATGGTAAATTTTCAAATGGTCGTTTACCACTTGAGACATCATGCATTATTACACTCAATGAATAAATATCCAAATGTTTATCACGCGGATACGTTGTTGGAGAAGCAAAATAATTTGGATCTATATAAGGTAATGATGGATATACTGAAGATTTATGAGGTATAGATTTAGATATTCCAAGGTCTGAGATCATGAGTCGTTCATTGTGAAGAAGTATATTGTGTGGATGCTTTTAATATGCATGTAAGTAAAAAAAAAAAAAGAGTAGCAAGAGAGTAGCAGGAGAGTAACAGGAGAGTAATAACAAACAAGAGAGTAGTGACAGGAGAGTAATAACAAACAAGAGAGTAGTAACAAGATAGTAGTGACAAACAAGAGAGTAAGTTAGGCATTTATATAATAATATTTGATTAAATGCGCATAAAATAAATATATATTTACCAATGATAGATGAACAATATCATGATTGTGTATGTATTGTAAACCACTTGCTATTTCAATAATTAATCTCACTTTATCTGTCCAAGAAAGGGTTGAATGGTTGTCTTCAAGATAATGGCGTAAGTTTCCACCATCAGCATATTGCAATACCATAAAATAATCATCATTTTGAGGATCTATAATATATAAATATTAAGTTAACGCACTAATTAAGTAAGTGATAAATATAAAGAATACATACCATGGCTATAACCAAATATTGAAAGTATATTTTGATGAAAACTCAATTTGTAAAGTAAGTTTATCTAATTTAATTAGAATAAATATACATGTAAAAAAGATAAGTATTTATAATAAATTTTAATAAATCAATCAGCCAAAGGAAAAAGTAAGAGTTTGATATTAAATTTATCATAATACATACATTATCTATCAATGATTTATTTTCATTATCATTAGAATCTTCCTTAACTACTTGTGAGAAAGCTGCCAAAGATTCAACTCTCTTTAAAGCAACTTTAGTCATATCTTTATCATTTTTCCATGTTGAAACTAAAATTGTGATGCTTTTACCATAACCCAATGGACTTATTCCTACAAAGTTAGAATAATCGATAGTTTGTAATTTGAATATTTGAGCTGAATTTCTTGGGTCATTAGATGGAACTATATAATCTACAGTCGATATTGACGTTGCTGATCGATTTAATTCTTGATTTGCATATAATGATAATGCAGATATTTGAGAATTATGATTCGTTATATTTTCCGGAGTTGCTACATCTGAAGTGATAGTAATTTCAGGTTCAGGAGAACTGGTAGGCTGTGATGGCTGTGACGTTAGAGTATTCAATTCGGTTGTGGTGGTAGTTGTAATGGAAATTTTGAAAGAGTCCGTTGGTAATGAAGTCATTTTTTGTATAAGAATGTGATAATTATTGGAAGAAATAAAAACCTAATGTTTAAGTCGATGGAAAAGTGTCCGGTAAGATATGTGTAGATGTATGCGTTTCGTATTTGGTTTTTTTTTTTTTTAATGTATTCGTTTATTGTAGAGGAAGGATAATATTATGGCGTAAAATTTAAAACGTCCCGTGTTGTTTATGAAGTTATACAATAACACTTTTTTGTCATTAAAGTCTTTAGGCGGAAAAAAAAAAAATGTCAAAGGGAACAATATAAATATTAAAATAAATAAAGACTTTGGAATGAATAAAGAAGGAAGACTAAAAGATAAAAGGAAGAAAGGAATATGGTAGAAGAAGGAATTCCAAACTATTAAGAAAGGAATTTGTTTTATATTAACATAAACAACATTTCGGGAAACTTAAAGAAATTGTGTCAGGTCGTTTAATGGATTTTGTTTATATTTATTCAAAAATCTATCTAATTAAATTTTTAATAAGTTAAATACAATAGATTAAAATAAAATTATACATAAGAAATTTACATAAAATTTTATACAGGAAAATACTTTAATCCCTTATAATTTAAATTAAAACGTTCATGTCTATCTCACACGGTTCGTTTGAGCAAACCGAACTGGTTGTCCTTTATTCTATTTCCCTTATGTCTTTTACGCTACGGTGGTTAGAATTAAAGATTACTGACGAAATAAGGTATTTCCTATTTCAAAATTTTTGCAGGTTACCGAAAAATCTTATTTTTTGTTTCAAAGACAAAAAAGAAAGAACAACCTAGCTTTGAAGAGTAACAATAATAATTAAAAAATAAATTTAAGATGCACTATGTGTAGTACGAGTCGCAAATCTTTTTTTTTTCGCAAACAAATGGATCCCCTGTATATTAGGTTGGACGTGCGGGGGTGAGACTCTAATTAAACATTTGTTTACATGGGTCAGTCTCTACAGTTTGCAGTTATGAGCATTCGAAAATATTGATCAGATTTTGATTATTTATACTCTTGCGTAAGTGTTCTATTCATAGAATAAATAGAATATACGGTCTACAATTATCATTCAAAGTTTTTTTTTGATTATCGTTATGCCCGTTTTCGGTTCTAACTCTAAATTTAAAATCTTGTACATCATGTGATGCAGCTTCAATAAATGTTCAAAATTATCTAACAAATGTCAGTACTAAATGTACGGGATTCTAAATTTATAATTGATTCGAATACACATAACGTTAATGTTATCTCCTGATTCTGAATTTTTATCTATTAATAGAGGTTAGTTATTTAATATGCAAAGATAATTTATACGTATAATGTATCATTCAGTATACAAAATTATAAAAATTTTATTTTATATTTATAATATATTAACAAGTTTTCAAAATGGTTGATCGAAACTATTTTTTTTTTCCTTTCTAAATTTATACAGGAAAGAAAAACAAAAATTCTTAATTACGTAACACTTGTGATTCAATCATTTGAGATTAGCGATAAATAGTAAATAGTAAGTATAAATTGTTATTGTGAACAAGTTTACTTAGTAAACTAGAATGACTTATTTATTAACATAATTAGATTTAGATCTGAATGCGATAACAATAAGAGAAACAAATTAATATCAATTGTTTATATTATTTTGTTGTATATAAATTTAACAGAATCATTATTTATTCTTAAAAAAAAAAAACGCCATTATTATTTACTGGGGAAGTTTTAAATCCTTTTAAATTAAATTGTTAGGAACTTTTATTAGCAACGGCAATTGCCGGGAGATTAATCACGCATCAAAAATATGAATACGTACTTATTCAGATAAATATGTAAATATTTATTTGAGATACATTTCACAATTCAATGTTTCGACTCATGAACGAATGGAAAACGTAGAATCAAAAGTAAAAAGATTTTGTGTCTCTTAAAGTATTTGAATCATTCCTTAAATAATGAGCATCTTTTCATATGTTTGGTCTCCATTCTTTTACTTGCAGTCTATCCGCATCTTTTTTCCGCGTTTAGATTATCCACCACACGACTTTGCGAATTTGCAACTTGGGAGGCACATCACTTAAACCCAAAATGTAAATGTTTAATCTGTATATTAATAGCCATCAACTTCGCGTAACATAACGAATCACTGTTTATATCGTACACGGAATTTTACTTAATACATAAGTCACATTTAAGCTGAGTTTCCGTATTCAATATGAGTAGTACTTCATGTCGCGTTAACCCATGCGCGTCTTATAAGCTGTGTTAGGTGCATAGAAGCCTGTCCCCAACAATAAATGGATATATTACTGAATAAACTCAAATTATTCACTCAAAATGTCCTTCTATTTAAAAGGCGCGTCAGATGCTCACATGATTTCAATTGTTACGACATGAATTTATTTTCGTGTAATGTCATAAGCCTGTTTATTCGTTTAATTTATTCATATTAATTTCAACTCTAACGTAACTGCATCTGCATTACTGTTTATCTTTTCGCTGTCTTCCAATTTTGTCAATTATTAAACTATAGCTCCCTACGTGTATGGGCTAGCGTATCCATTAGTATCCATTATTTACAGCTCTTGTAAGATTATTAATCTTGATTTATTTGAAAAATTTCTAGGTGCATAATCTTGGTACTCCGTAAATAGAAATAATTGATGTGAATTGCTCAAAATTGCTCAAGAGCGTTATTACCTCAAATCGTATCTTCGTCTCTTTAATTATAGTGTAAAACCGTACAATTCAGGTTAATTCCTTCCTTTTTCGTTAAATTCTTCAAACACCCTAGAAGTTAGTAATCCCATATACGGAATACAAAATTAATTATTTGGGAATGTTACTCAATTCTTGTATTCTGTAATTGTCGATCTTATTGTCATATTACTAAACAAAATAATAAGTGTATCCTTTATATTCTTTCTATGGCGTCTTGTAAATAATAAAATCAAGTTTTTCGCATAATGCTAATTGTATAAAAAGCTAGGAAAAAAATTTTTTTTTTTTTTGATAGACATTCTTACCACAAATAAAACAAACTCTACCAATGAAAAACTAACCCATTACCTCCTAGCGCTAATATCAATACATTATTTCAATTTTTTTATGGTCATTCAAGAATTAAACTTGTACAAGCGTACTACAAGAAAAAATTGATTGAGATTAGTTTGATTATACACATATACATGCATGTTACGTATTATTTATATAGCATACTGATACCTATAGGAAAAATCAAAAATCATATACCAAATATTCGAATTGCGGATTCAACTTTACACATTTTGAATTATGAATTAATTTGACCATTTGAAAATATTGGCGTTATCGGAATGAAACTGTATTAACTGTATTCATATTTTATATCAATATGAAATTCGAATTAATTATCCTCGTACGTACTGTACGTACGTACTGTACGTACGTACGTACGTAAGTAAATTCGGAATTTAGGTACCGCATTATGTGTTTAGTTATAGTTATGTGCGTACATAAGTTTTAGACACAATTTATCCCTAATGTTACCAATGTTTGTATCCATATGGATAGATAATGGTTATAGGATACCTATCAATTTTTAGAGGTTCGAAACAATTTTGTGTTCGTTTCAAGATAGTTTTGGACATCAAATCAGATCATTTATTACGTAATCCTTATAATGAAATTGCTAATTGCACAAGTGATTTTTTTTATTAACGTTAACGTAAATTTCTTAAAATGATTTTTTTTTTTTACCCTATTGGTCAAGCATTCACAGATACCCTAGAATTCATTGATGGCAGGTAGACTCCATAGTTTATCAGTATTGTGTGATCATTTATGCTTCATTAAGTCCATTATTTGAAGTTCCATATCCACGGTATTTTACCTTTAATTCTTGTATCGATATAATTAAGTTTTTTTAAAAAATTTTTTTAACTGCTTATAACAACTAAATTATTCTATTAATAAATTAGTTTTTATTAAAATTATTCGAATTACTAATTAGCGTTAGATAAAAGAGATAAAGTTAGTACGTATAAGGGACATCATAGCAATATTGTTAAAAAATATATAGAAATATTAAATTTTCTTTTATAGAAATCTTAAAAAATATATGACGTATCAGTATATTATATAATGATATACGTAGCTATGGCTACGTACATGTAGTCTATACTATATATAATACATATTAACTTATATAACTTACTATATAACTTACTACGTATATATTAATTTGTTATATGGACCTTACGGGACTATGAATAAAAGTTAAAATTTCTAGCCATCCAGTAATCCAATTCAAATAAACTTTTTTTATTTTGTAAAACTCGCTAAGCTTTACAAAAAAAAAAAGGGTATTTAAATTGACTTACTGGACGGCTAGAAATTTTAATTTTTATTCATAAAATCTACATAGTTTCGAAAAGGTCATTTTCAGGGCAAAGACCTCATATACCAACTTGCTAATTACTATATAACTTGCTAATTACTATATAACTTGCTAAAACTAATCTATTTATCACTATTTAACCTACTATATGTCAATTTAATAAAGATTACTTGCTGACTATTATATAATCCGCTACAACACACTACCTACTATACTAATTACTATATAACATACTATATACTAATTTATATAACTTGCTGCATACGTACTAACTTGTCAATTACTTTTACTATATGTTAACTTGCTAACTTGTTAACACTAATTTACTAATTAACTTGTTAGTTATAAACTTAATTCTAAAATTATATATTTACTAATTACTATATACAAACTTTGTTAAATACTATAACTTACTATATACAAACTTGCTAAATACTATATACTATTATATACAAACTTGTTTATTACAACCCACTATATACAAACTATATAATTACTATATATTTGTTTATTATTATATACTAACTTGTTAATTTACTAAATTACTATACAATTTTTTTTTTTTTTTAAAGTGGCAATCTTGCCTGTCTGTCTTTATTGAGTAATATATCATTATTCAAATATATACAAA